TAGGTAGTGGTTCTAATAGGAAAGTAGAGTTGTTGGATACAGGGAACTTAGTTGTAGTTGATGAATTAGGTGTTGATATGTGGCAGAGTTTTCGAAATCCAACTGATACATTCCTACCAGGTATGAAAATGGATAGTAGTTTGAATTTGATTGATTCAAAAAATGGCAACTACAGATTCCAATTAGATCAATCAAGTGACAAGGAATATGTTATGGTAGTTCCAAAGCAGGGCAAAATTCTCTGGAAAGGATCTATGAAATTAGTAAACTTAAGTATCGGTGAGATGCCTGGTTATGTTGCGTACATGTTATCCAACTTCACTAAGAAAGACATTGTCGATAATTCATTGGAATCGATAGTAACATTTGACAAGTATAGGCTTTTAATGAACTCCTCGGGGGAAATACAATTCTACGGTTGGGATAAGGAGAGCAGTGGATGGTCTTTGATGTGGTCAGCGCCAAATGATACGTGTGATTTGTACAAGTATTGTGGGAGGTTTAGCATTTGTAACAGCAAACGTGAGCCAGTATGCAAATGTTTGCCCGGGTATAAGCTCAATCCTCCAGATAATTCAAAAGCAGGAAAATTTTCAGGCGGTTGTTCGAGTACATCAGTTAGCTCTTGCAACGAAGACAATGCACAAGTACTCGACACGTTCTTGGATTTGAGGTCAATGAATGTCAAGAGTCCAGACAGGTTATTCAGTAATATTAGTACCCGTGAGGACTGCAGGAGATTTTGTCTAGGCAACTGTCTGTGCCAGGCCTATACTTACAGCGATTCTGTATGCTGGACTTGGGTCAATAGTCTCATGCATCTGCAGGAGAACTATGCTGGTGGCTTCAACATCTCTGTTCGTGTCAGCATTTCCGATATTGGTAATTTCTTTTTCGATTTAACTTATGTACACTGATAGTTCAAGCCAATGTGTAACCACAAATAGTATAATAATTTGTTTTTTGCGCATTGCAGAAGCAACAAAGAGAAATTGCAAGCCTTGTGGCATAAACGTAATACCCTATCCATTAAGCAGTGGACCAAATTGTGGTGACCCTCTGTATTATAGTTTCTCATGTGATGATTTAGCCGGTAAGGTAAGCTTCCACACATCGGATGGCAACTATGATGTCCTTAACTTTGATAACGAAAATAAATCATTTGTTATAGAAGCAGCTCATAAACAATCTGTTGGTACTTGTGATGACAAAGGACCAGTGACAGGATTTTCTTGGTTCAATCAGTCATCACCTTTTAAGGTGATAAACTGGTGTTACAATCCCGAAGAGAATCTTACTCCAGGACCTATTAGTCGAGGGAAAGATTTAATATTGATTAGTTGGAAACCACCATTGGAGCCAATTTGCAAGACTTCAGAAGATTGCAATGATTGGCCAAATTCTAGTTGCGATATGACAAAACAAGGAGAAAGAAGATGTATATGCCAAGCTGATCACAAATGGAATGGCTTGATTTTAAATTGTTCCTTGAGCTCAGGTATGGATCAATGTTACTTACTACAAATGATTTTCTTGCCAATAGTTCAATGATACGTTTTTCTATGTTCTCCATTTGACCTTTTATATGACCAACACACATTTCATTTCTTAAATTTGCTTCAGAACTTGGAACACAAGGATCATTCATCGCGAAGCTGACATCCTCACAGAATCAGAGAACCCTTGTTATTTCCATATCTGTAGTTCTTGGAGTTATAACTTTGTGCAGCATTAGTTATATAGTTTATCAGAACACTAGAGTGGCAAGAAGTAGAGGTGATAACAATCGGAAAAATCTCATCTGTTTTTTCTCAAGTTCGCCTTTTGGAGAAATATTATGATCAAGTTCATAACTAATTACTTAATTGGTTTGATTTTAGAAGCAAGAGATATTGTTTTGGGGAATCATATGGAGAACTTTCCTCGTAGAGAAAGTTTTGGTGAAGAATTGATCACTGCAGATGAAAAGCGACATATTGATGTCCCATTTTTCAGCTTGAATAGCATACTAGAAGCTACAGACAACTTCTCGAATGCAGCTAAGCTCGGGCAAGGTGGATTTGGACCTGTTTATAAGGTTAGGCTACTTTCTTTTGTTCATGTACCATTCAAGTTTCTCTATTTTCGTTATACAGCGATTCTGACAAAAAATTATACATACAGGGAAAGTTTCTCGAAGGTGCAGAGCTAGCGGTGAAAAGGTTGTCAAATCATTCGGGACAAGGTGTTGAAGAATTTAAAACTGAAGTAATGTTAATTGCCAAACTGCAGCACAGAAATTTAGTCAGGCTTCTAGGCTATTGTGTTGAGGGAAATGAAAAGATCTTAGTATATGAGTATATGGCCAACAAAAGCTTGGATACATTTATATTCAGTCAGTATACTCCACTCCGGACCTCAAAACTCTTCGTAACGTTTTATGCAACTATATGGTTTTTTTTTGGATTTATTACCTCTAAAGTTAACCTTGTGCATTGCAAATAGATCGTACATTCTGCCGATTATTGGACTGGAGGATTCGTTTTGAAATTATATTGGGTATTGCGCGAGGGCTTCTTTATCTTCACCAAGACTCGAGGCTAAGGATTATTCACAGAGATCTTAAGACAAGCAACATATTGTTAGATGATGAAATGAACGCCAAAATTTCAGATTTTGGCTTAGCAAGGATTATTGAAGGCAAAAGCACAGAAGCTAATACTACCAGAGTTGTTGGAACATAGTAAGTCTCTGAGTACTGTTTTCAGCTTTGATATCTAAAATTTGGTCCGATTTCACTAAATATACGTTTCCTTTGATGTCTAATTGTATGAACTGATAAAACAGTGGCTACATGTCACCCGAGTATGCATTGGAGGGACTTTTTTCAATCAAGTCCGATATATTTGCCTTCGGAGTGGTAGTCCTTGAAATCATAAGTGGGAAGAGAAACATGGAATTTTTCGAAGAAGTAAACCTGACTGGTTATGTAAGTACCCAAAACGTCCCTCAACTAATTTGTTATTCTGTTTTAATACTTTAACTGTCTCAAAAATGCTAATCACAGGCATGGAGACTGTGGATGGAAGACAGGGCACTAGACATGATGGATCAAACTATTGTTGATACTTTTGAGGACAAGGAAGTGATAAAATGCGTAAATGTTGCACTTTTATGTGTTCAAGAAGATCCAGGTGATCGTCCTACAATGTCAAATGTAGTCGTTATGCTTGGAGGCGAAAGCATGACTCTTCCAAGACCAAGTCAGCCACATTTTATCACAAGAAGAAATGCTTTGAGTACATCTTCTTCCTCTTCTAAGCTCTACAGCACGTTCAACAAAGAGCTGGCGATAACTCATGAAGAAGAAGGCCAATACATAGAGATGTAAATGCAAGACGAATAATTCAACATTATGTTAAAATCATCTATATCTTCCCTTTTAATTCAGTAATCAATTTTTCAGTTAATTTTTTTTGGCATAGAGAATAACCCATTGTATCTTCCCTCAAGTGACAACACGAATTCAAAGTTATATACTGATCAACACTTTTTCCATGCATATTACCCTAATTAGTGTCCCTAATGTCATCCAAGGTTGTATGCATTGTGACTTTATACCAAATGTCAAACAGTCAAACCTACTTGTGATATTATCTGCTTTTAAGTCTAGATGCACGCGACTTTAAAATATGTTAGTAAGGATCTAAGATATCCCTTTTATATGACTAACATCTCCATTATGTTTTGTCAATGTGAGATTTGTCAAAGGTAAACACGAATTTCTACCATAAGTTATGAAGTTACATTTTTTATTTTCTTAATAGACACGATTAAGTAAAATTTAAAATTGAGTTAAATCCAAATAGTATCAGAGTGAAATTGATACTTATTTAAACTTTCGATCCACGCTCTAGTTGGATTTGGGTGTGAAGGGGAGATCTCTATTACTTGAAAAATGTGATGTGAGTTATGATGGTAGAAAGTATAAAATCATTGTTGTAAATTCCAAATGTGGTGAGTCTATTCATGATAGCAACAATGTTGTGTTCCCACCTTGGTACAATTGCCCTTTCCGAAATCGCTTTCGACCCATGCCAGCTCTTTCCCACTTATTGACCAAGTCAATGTCGGTTCTCTTTTTTTTTTTTCTTAATAACAATTTGATTTGACATAATGTATTTTTTATTTTTTAAAAAAATTTATGGCCTAAAACAATTTTTAAATATTGTTGTTGCTTTAAATAGTTTATTAAGGGTAAACAGAAGAAATTTAAAGTTAAATTATTTTTAATTATTGTAAGGTAATACTCCTTTAATTTCTACTTTTTATGTCTCTAATTATATTGTGAAATTAGGTCATAGGCATAATTTACACTCCAAAAGCTAGCTCAAAGGAAGGAAGATTGCCCATGCTTTATAAGGAGTCCACCCATCTCATAATCACCGATATGGGACTTTTGTCATTCTTTAACATTTTTATCAGCTTTTAAATTGACACACTTATTTAAAAAATAATTATTGGCATAGTGTAAACCATTTTACCCCTATTCATTGTGAAGTGAGTGAATAAAAACGTAAGATTTTCAAAAAGTTCTATCTTTACCAAATTAATCACTTAAGGGTATAATAGGTAAAAAATTGTTCTTTCTTGATTTGTCAAAATGGACAAGTAATTAGGGACAACAACAAAAGGAATAATGAACAAGTAATTAAGGACAACTATAAAAGAAAAATGAATAAGTAATTAGGGACAGAACAAGTATTTACATGTACTACTTACTAAAAATAAACATTTCTTAATAATCATTTCATAAAACCAATGCATAAATGATAATAGTTTTTATTTTATCCTCGAGAATTATTAGTCTTGAAAATATGTATTTGCCCAACATAAAAAAACTAGTAAATAATTTATGTTTATTGATCAAATTAAATAATCAAAAATAAATTAATTCATGTTATTGATTGAAAATTTGACTTCAAGAGAACACCAAATAAGATAACAGTAATAAACTTACCTAATTTCTTAAGGGATACAAAATTTAAAACGAGGACAACTAAATAGAAATGGAAAGAGCATTCTTTTTTAGACAAAAAAAAAAAAATGAATAGTGCCACATGAAAAGACTGAGAGAGTATAACACTTGTTTGTCACAAATTTACTCTCTAACCCGATAGAGTTGCATACTGGATGCTACTAAGTGAAAAGAGATGAACCTCAATTTATAAATATTCAAATATAATAAGGAAGCTCCTTATAAGCCTTTCGTATCAGCTAACTTTTGAAGTTGAGTTAGATCGAAAATAAGGAGTCCGCGACCTTCTGTAATTGCTTGACTGGTTTCACACCTAAATCTGATACAGAATGGGACTTGAATGATCATTCTGGTGGCTGTGTAAGGAAGGAAAGCTTGCAGTGTGGTGATGGTAAAATGAAGGGCGGTTTTTCAGTGAATCCCAACGTGACATTGCCTGGGTATTCCCTAACTGTTCCAGCTGCGGAATGCCAATCTACTTGCTTGAGTAACTGTTCCTCATGTAACGCATATGCCTATGATAATAATGTGTGTTCAATTTGGATGAACATGTGAATCTGAAGCTACTGTCACCAGGAGATGGTAGTGGAAATGTGATTTATACCAGAGTTGCTTTCTCTGATGAAGCATGCGGTGAAGGTACATTGAGTTTTATTTGGTAGTGTTTGTCATTTCTATGTATGCAATACTCATCTCCGAATAGTAACTGACTAATCTTTTGGTTCTTTACCTCATAGCTTTCAACATTATGAGTATATATATTATCTAAATCTTAGTGCTCCTAAGAGTTAACTAGGCAACTAAAAGTTTGCGCGAGCACCCTCTACGTTTTAAACAAACATCAGATAGCAACCGACCAGTTTAAGTTTACGCAACACCCTCTATGTCTTAATCACACATAAGATGGTCACTGACCAAATGTTTGTTTTTCATGTTTTGATTTAGTTACAACTAGCCAATATGTGTTGACGCCAGTAAACATTACCAGTTCGTTGAGTTCCCACATCAGCTCTTTGGACAATTCTTACCTCATAAACTAGCTTTTATAGTTGAGCTGTCCTCAAGGTCCATTTCTTATCGCGTTATTAGAATCAGAACCATCCCAAAATAGTCTATTTCTTTTCACAGTTTCCTTATGTTTCTTCCTTCTGTCATCAGATGCAAAATCAGGGAAATTGTCCCCGAAGCTTAAAGTCATCATATCTGGCGTGGTAGCCGTTGCAGTTCTACTTCTATGTAGCTTTAGCTACATTTATCATAGGAGAATACTGTCAAAGAATACAGGTACTTGTGTTGCGATTACAATTTATGGAGTTGTTGTTTTACCACTACCAGAAAAAATTCTCCTTCCGTTTTTTTTTCCGAATCAGATCAAGAGAGATATCCTAAAAGGCTGCTCTTGTTTTTTGATCTTAGCAAGCCAACAAAGCACAGGAGGCAATCCAGTGCCACATTGGTTTAAACAGAGAAAGAGAAGCACAAAACCTGATTAACGAAAATGATAAGCAAAACATCGCTGTTCCATTCTTTAGTTTGGAAAACATATTAGCAGCCACAGATAATTTCTCAGATAGAAATAAACTCGGACAAGGAGGTTTTGGTCCTGTTTATAAGGTTAGCATTAATAATTCACTTCAACATGAGTTCAACTCTATGAAGTCATTTCATAGCATCCTAGTTTGCTAAACTTTCTCATTGGTTACCAAAACAAGATCCAACACATAGCAAGCCATTGAAATGGAAAAAAACGATTTGAGATCACATTAGGAATTTCTCGAGGGCTTCTCTATCTTCATGAAGACTCAAGGCTCAGAATTATTTTCATAGAGATCTGAAAACAAGTAACATTCTTTTGGATCGAGAAATGAACCCAAAAATGAATACACTGTTGTTAACCACAAAAATGAATACGTTAGATACAATTGTACTTGTATTTCCTAATCAACTGTTTATCTTGGATATAGTACTTATCTATCTAGATATACTTGTATCGCAAATCAACATTTCAACTTGTGCTTATATAACAATACAAGTACCTATGCATATAAATATGGACACATTTCAACACTGTTGTTAAGCAAAAACATGGATACATTAGACAAACGAGCAAAAAAATATAATTTGTGGGTATCAAATTGTATAAATATGGATACATCAGACAAACGAGTAAAAAAGATACAATTTGTGTGTATGAAACTATATAAATATTCTTCTAAATAAAATTTTGAAAAGGCTAACAATGTAGTATTGATGTACCCAACTATACTTGGATTTCCTAATCAACTTTTTAAATTTGACAGAGTACTTATGTATTCAGATATAATTGTATTCACAGATCAACAGTTCAACTTGTAATTATATAATAATACAAATTATGTATAGAAATGTTCTACTATATACAAAATTGACAATCAGAGAACCCTCAATCTCTTTTTTGTTCATGTTCTTGTACTCATTTTTTTAACTATATACATACAAGATCAAATTTTCTAATAATTTCGCATGTTAGATTTCTTTAAGCAAATAGAATATATGGTCATTAACCTTTTTTGTTCTTCTTTCGTTCTCCATAGCAGCAACCAGAGCCTGAAGTTTTGACTTGTTGTGAGTAATAAACAAATCAAAAGAAGGTAATTCGTCCAACAATTTATCAAAAAATGTATACCTCTCGTAACCCTCCTCGGGATATCAATTTTAGTCATTGAAATGAATAAATAAATTCTTGAATCAAAACTCTATGAAAATAAAAGAAGTGAAGATCTGTAGATAAATATGCAATTAGAAGATGACTGATGGATACAAAATTACAAAAATCGCTCAGGCAGTAACGTAAAGGATCTTGAATTTGAATGAATTTGGAGGAATAAATCAGAAATATGTATTTATGAATATTGATGAAAGAGAAAAAACTGATGATGATAAATGGAAAAAGATCACAAATGTGTCTGTCATAATTAATTAGGCATTCAATAATTACTTTCCTATTTAATATTTATTTATTATATTAAATACATAGAAAAATGATATTTATTTGTATTTAATTAACTTTGCTATTCATAGTCTAATTATATCCATATAACATAAAAATAAATAAAACATAGCTATTTTTCTTGAATATATATATATATATATATATATATATATATATATATATATATATATATATATATGAATGTTTTTCATATTCCATTGGAAGAAAAAAGTCGTGGTTTTTTCTTCTCTCGTTTGGACCGTCAGATCAAACATCACTTTAAAAGTAAATTCAAATGTCGAAATTTGACTAAAAATACTGTGTGAAATGTAAAACATGAGTCATTTTTATCATATTAGAGAAAGGGGATGTATTAGTTTGACAAATCAAGATGAAATTCCATCTTTGTGGAAATTATTAACACTGCTTTTTTTTTTTAAAAAAAAAATAGTTGATTAAAAGGGCTGGGAAACATTTTCTGTAGTTTCAATGGGCCATCAATCTTTTTTTCTTAATTATTAATTTAAGCTTTTCAATACGTATATCCACTTTAATTTGATTTCCTACTCTCTCCTCTTCCCTTTTTTTGAGAAAATGACATAATACAATGAAACTTGTGTTGAAAAATAAGTGATAAATATTTGTGTTACTTTAAAATATTTTATCATTTTTGTTTTGGAAACCGACTAAAAAAAATAAGTGATATAAATTGGGACAGAAAGGAGTAACTGAATTGGTTTTTGATTCTTTTTTATTTACAGTGCTAAACATTTTTGAGAAGATGGTTCTTTACAAAATAATATTAATTCCATAAGAGAAATAGAAAGCTAAATCCTCTCATCTAGGTACTGGCAAAGTTAATGTCAACTCATTTATGGAGAAATCGCTTGACGTTTGATGTCGCCAGCTGCTGCGGAAAGCCGGTTCTTTTGGCTCAGGGATGGGTGTTGTTTCGTTGCTTAACATGACAACTATATCAGACATTGTTGGTCGATCAGTAGGAACTTCTTGAACGCAAAGAAGAGAAACCAGAACAGACCGTGCTGCTTTGTTACTGTCGCAGATTGCCCTTATTGATGGATCAATCAACTCCAACATTCTTCCTTCTTTCCACATTTTCCATGCCTAACATGACAAATGACGTGAAATGTTTAAAAGAAATTGAAACAAACTTGGACATTAGTATTCAAATGCGCGAGTGTACTTACCCATCCTAATAGAGATACACAAACTTCAGTTGTGAAGAAGTCTGAGTTTCGTTCACCAGTCAAGATTTCCAACAACAATACTCCAAAGCTGAATACATCTGATTTCTCCGAGAATTGGCCATATACTACGTATTCTGGAGACATGTAGCCACTATGCCATATTGGCGTAAATCAGTCTTCAGTAGCTAATATACAAGAGGTAATAACATAAAAACTGGTTTCAGAAAGGGCTAATACTTACTATGTACCAACCACTCGTTTTGTACTGGCCTGTGTTTGATCAGTCCCGAAAATCCTTGCCATTCCAAAGTCTGATATTTTTGGGATCATCTCTTGATCTAGCAAAATGTTGCTTACTTTCAAGTCCCTGTGAATGACTTTTAATCTCGAGTACTTATGCAGGTAAAGCATTCCTTGAGCAATTCCTTCTATTATCCCAAAACGTGTATCCCAACCGAGTGTAACCTTCAATGAAGGGTCTAAAAGGAAAAATGAATATCAAATTAGCCAACAGAAATGAGGAAAACAAAGTTATAGTTCTCGTGAAGATAATACTAATGAGTATAACCAGAAAGAAATTTGTCCAGGCTGCAATTGGGCATATATTCATAGATCAGTATCTTCTCCTCCCCTTCAACGCAACATCCTAAGAGGCTGACTAGATTTTTGTGCTGCAAGTTTGCGATTAGCTTCAATTCATTCATGAACTCCTCTAGTCCTTGTGATGACTTCCTGCTTAGCCTTTTGATGGCTACATCTCCGAATTCAGGCAAAGACCCCTGAACAGAATGTTTAAATCCACAATTCTATATATATTCATGTAATTAAAACGAACATCAAAATATTGAATTTTGCACCTTAAACACGGGGCCAAAACCACCTTCTCCGAGTTTGTTTTCTTCATGGAAGTTGTTTGTTGCATCTCTTATATTCTGCAGGCTGTACTGTACCAACTTCATATCATCTTTGCCAACTAAAGATCCACTAGGCATGGAGCTAACTAGAGCAGAATCTCCGTCCATCTTACCTAGTTTCAAACAACAATCAGTAAGTCAAAGCACTGTGAACAATACGAAATCTAAAATCATTTACAGTTTAGAAATGCTAGATTCACCTCGTCTTCTCAAGCGCTTTCTTTTGAAGATAAAAGCAGAGATACTAATAAGAAGCAAGATTGCAAAACTTGCGGAAACAATTTTTGCAATGAGAATTTTGTATCTTCGAGCTGAATTTCTAGATTGAGCATTAGTAACTGCATCCACAACACAAAGTTTATAGTAGTCTTTCACTTGTTGTTAGTAAAACTAACAATGATTCAAGTAAAATACCTTGCTCTGAGTTGTGAACTCGAACATAGAGAGTTCTGCCGTTAGTAATGTCATGCCCAATATCCAGTAAATCGCCATGCCATATAAAACAGGCGTTTCTCGTACAAGCATAAGCTGAACAAGAGCAGTTCCTAATGCACTGAGTTTCACACTCTTCAGTGCTCATATTTCCTAAAGAGACGGCATAATCTGGCAACTTCATGTTCTCATGCTTAAAAAATCCATCTCCACCATCACATCCCAACGCTATTTTTCTCACACAACCTCCATTCCATATCTCATTTGCCCAATCTGTCGAAAACTTAGGTTCAAATCCGTCTAAACAACTGCATAATCCTTTTGATCTGATCCCACAAGTACCAAACGGACCACAATGCGCGTAAAGTTCACACTTAGATCGTGGTGCTTCAAATTCAACATTCCATTTGTTACTTTTATTCTTATTCCACACCATCACCTGAAGCTGCCCGCTCGGGTTCAGCACGACTCTTAATCTCAGAAAGATTCTGTAGTAAGCTAAATTAAGATATACATTATCATTTTCAGTAACAACAGTGAAACACCACACTGTTGCTAGTATATACGCTCTGCAACCATCGTCAAATCTATAATAAATATCATTTTGGTTCCAAATAACAAAACGCATAACCCGATCTATTCCAAAAGAGAAATTTCCAGGCTGAGGATCTTCATTACTCGTCCATGAAGTGATCACATTTCGTAAGCCACTAATTTTATTGAAACCAAATCTCATATGGCGTAATAACGTATCTGTAGGATGCTGGAAGCTCTGCCACAAATAATTGGACTCACCGTAGTATCGGAGAACAAGATTCCCGGTATCCAACAATATTCCGATAGTAGAATTTGAAGTTAATAATGGTTCCCGTGATGTTGATGAGACATTCGATGACCAAATGAGTTCACCTTTTTCATCGAAAATCACTAAATTTCCATCACCGCCGACAGTGAAAACTGGTGAAGCATTTGATGGGATTGGAGATTCTCTGTTGGCTACCCAAACAACTGTTTGTTGAGGGATTATGTTGTACCATATGCCAAGATAGGTGTACATTGAATTTGATGGAATGAAAAATCCTAAGGCGAAACTTCTATCAGATGAAATCAATTTCTGATTACCAGTGATTGATTTGCCAACTTCCACACAATTTTGACAAGGAAGAACAGGTAAGCAACAACATGAGAAAACTAACAGTAAAAGAGGTAAGAAACTATCAAACTCCATTGTTTTTCCCAAACTATACGACACCTCCTGTTCTTCCTTCTCTCTATATATAGAATTCATAATTCACGTTTCAATTCGTTTTGTCGTAACTTTATATTTAATTTGTTTCATTTGGAGTGTCTCTTTCCTTTTCTAAGCAAGATTTTATCTTTAGTTTAAAACTTAAAAGTTGTTTTAACTTCATTTTCAAATACTATTCTGAGTTGGAAATTAAAATAAGTCATAAAAATATAAAAGTAACTAAAATAAGCCACTATTTTAGTAAGTAATTAAAATAAGTTTAGTGGAAGAAAAAGTTTCACTATATCCAATTTTCTAAACATTTGTCGTTACTGTCATAACGTTTATTTTTAATATATAACGGAACTTTTTCTTCCACTTTATAAAGTGAAACTTTTTATTCCACTTTATAAAGTGGAAGAAAATCTTCCAATTTATGAAAAGTTACCTTTTCATCTTCACCTTCACCTTCTCTCATTTTTCTTTTCATGGCTTCCAAAAAAAAAAATCACTTTGAAGATGGTCATTTGCATCAAAAATTCACTTAAAAAAATAAGTGTTAGACATAGCGATAATCATTTGCGTCAAAAGTAGGTGAGACATGAAAATTTGAGGATGTCCCAACATTTTCCGTCATTTCAAAGTGTGAGGACTAACCAAAATAATTATTTAGTCCATAACTTGGAGCAATATCCCTATCTTGCTGAGGTAAACCGCTACAAAATATATAATAATAAGAATAATAAATAATATAAATTAATAAATAATTGACAAAATCAACAAACAATAATTGAAATATTATGATTGAGCATTACCGATCACTATCATTGATAGTTTTGTTTAAATCAAAATCATATCGGCCGGTAAGAGTATTTTGATAATGAGTCATTTTAGGAAAATCAGTAGATTGAGTTATCGGAAATTCATCAATGCTATTATGATTTTCTAATTAGGGATGAACATCGACTGATAAAGGAGAACGTTGTTGACTAATCTTAGGATCCTTCCTAACATAGATTCCAAGTATTGTTGACTTGATTTGATCTATATAGTGATTTGGAACCCTTAAAAAGTCGGTCAACGATTCGTCATTATATATAATTCACTCTCCAAAATTTACTTGTCCATGTGATAAAAATGAAGTAGGGTATTTTTCGGCTATAATCAAATTAT